GTGACCTTAGGATACAGTGGTATGGAGATTTGATGTGAATTTCTGCTTTCTCGTATTAATATGAATAATTAAGAAATGAATAAAATCAATCTTTACAAAGTCATGCAAACGTTGTATTACTTAATGTGGGTGTATGGCCTGATATCAATAAAATATATATGAATACCTATTAATACTTTGAATGGTATCTTTGTCTGTCTTACTGCTCTTCCCAGATGAAAAAGCAAATCCAGGGTCCAAGACAAAATGATATCAATAGACACTCCATTATGAAGCAACAAATGTTTTTACTACCACCAACTCACTGGCTCTTTTTCTTTAGAAATATGAAGGGCCAGATTCCATAAACCTAAATGAGGCAGCTCAGAGTCTGATTGACAGTAGAGTCACAGCAATTACTGGGGCTTTGAGAAAAGGGGCATGTAACTACAGAGGGCAGGTAGGCATTTGTGTTTTCATGTAAGTACCTTTACTTTTAGGGTTTTGGAATTTTAAAAATAATAATAACTCCAGAGACAATAAAGCAATATCTAATATGTTTTGTGGAAGTGGTTCAACTACAAAAGGTAAATTATTTCCATTTCATCATCATCTTTGGGGAATATAGTTCAGGTGTATGTTTTAATTGCTACTGTATGTATGTCTTAATTGCCACCTTGGTGCTATATTCACAGAGAAAATACATCAGTAAAGTAAGTTTCTCTATTACAATATACATTTAAACACTACTCAATGAAGAAGTATTTTTAAATATTTTGCTTTAGAATTGTTACTTGTGCAATGAACTAGTTATGAGTTGAAATAATATCCTGTGTATTGACATGCAGATGAACTCACTAAGCAACCACTTTGCTTTAGAGATTTGTATAATTTGATACCAAAAGCCACATTAAATTAATATTAATTACTTGATTTTAAACCAAGAAAGTTCAGAGTGAAGCTGTTCTCCTATTTCACCACATTTATGCATGAAAACATTAATACACAAGGAATAAAAATATGTTATGGGCAGGGATATCCAGGCTCTGTTCTACAGAGGTGTATGGCTTATTATCTGAAGATTTGTAGGAAGTAAACTTGATGTTTTACTTTTATAGACTGTAATTTCAAAATCCTTTATCCGAACTCTCATTTTTTCATAATTAATGTGGTGCTATAAACTCTTCATTATGCACACATCTATTTTGTTTTTTCATTCCTGGCAAATATTCATTTTCAATTGTTCCTTGCCTTGCCAATCAGCATGAGAGGTTCTAAATGTCATTTTAATGCCAAAAAAAAAAAAAAAAAAAACTGGTATGTGCACAAGCATTCTAGTCGAAATAAAAAATAACAATAATTAGAAGCCAAGTTTGCCACTAAAAGTTATATATTGTATTACAGTTTATTATCTAAATTATTTTGTACTAGCTAGCATGTCTTTAACTTGCATGTTCTAGGTCATCCCCCTTGCATGTTTATTGTAGAGTAGAATTTACATATATATGTGTATATACATATATGTGTGAATATATGTGTACATACATACATTCATACACACACTCTAATTGTCTCAATACTTATACTATTACTTAATTCATCCTCTTTCAGAAAACTCATTGGAACTCTGAGTTTATCAAAACATGGTCCCATCCATTATAATAATATCAATTCTTCAATACTAAGGTGATTTAAAACACAGAGGGACCCATTGCTTTGCTGTGTGGTTACCAATTTAATTGGAAAATTAGGATATTTCTACAAGCTATTCTACAGCTAATCTGAAGTAGGCTCTACCCCAAAGACTTTGGAGGTGTTGAAGCAGAAGGTGATTAACTCTGTTTGGTAAAGGATAATTGGTCACTTGACTCTTAGAATAATGCTAACAACAGGAAGTATTTTTTCTAGCTTATTAGTTCACAAGAGTCTTTTGAGCTTCATAATATACAAAGTACTAAAAAATACGAGAGATACTGTGGCAATTTTGGGCAAATATGAAGAACTAATGGAAAGACGTCATTCAAGGTCTTTGGGTCTCATTGATAAATGAGCTTTAAATATTATTTTTTAAATGGTCATTATTCAAAGAAAATTATCAATAAATTATTAGGCAAATAACTTCTTAAATATCATTTAAAAGGGTATTTTTATTTTTTTCAAACTTTTTAGAGTATTTCAGATTTATAATGCCTTGTATTTCTCTATCGCCCATCTTAGTAACTAGAAAAAAAAAAAGAAAGAAAGAAAGCAATATACAGCCTTGATAATAAAAATTCCAAACTGATTCACCCTTATCTTAAATCTCACAAAACATATACAGGAATGCATTTTATTTGTAAGGAGAAACTATCTATAAATTTCATTTTTGACTCAATTTGTAGTTTGATTGATGACCCTTAAGAGGTTGAGAAACAAGAAAGACAAATTGAGCATGTCATGTAATATATAATTACATTATTTTAATAATTTTCTATAGACTTTATGAAGTTCGTCACTTTTCTGCAAACAGTGCTGCATGTATTTGCCGTGTGTCTGTAATGAAATGAGTTAATGTCTTAACAAGCCATCCAGTGTTGTGTTACTGAATAATCCTTTATGTTTTACATGAATTCATTGTAACTCCAAAATATGGTCATTTCTTTGTGGATCAAAGACTTAATAAAGGGCCACTACATTTGAATATCTTTCATATGTGTCTTCAAAGTTGGCACTTTTATTAGTTCCAGTGGAAATGTTATTCTGTATTTAAATAGTGTCCCCTATATGCTAAATTTGGGCTTATGATGGGAATCTAATTTTACCTTATTTCAGGACTAAGATACAAAAGCTAAAAGTGTAGAAAAATCAGAAAAAAAATTGCTTCTAATATTTTAAATTGGCAATCTCATCGACTCAACCTTTGGTTATTATTGCTAGTAGCATAGTTTGACTTCAGTGTTTAACTATGTTATTGTTAGATGAAACACTAAATTTCATCTTAAAGAATTCCATATATTGGCAGTTCAAGGTAAATGTTTATACTTGAATAAAGACATACATCTTGGAAAACTTTGTGCAAACGGAAGTCAATGACACATTCAGGTACATTTTGAGTAAATGTAATGTTTATATATAGTACTGCCTTTCAAATAAGTTATAAAATTAAGATATATGTTAATGTTTCAAGATAATAAACAAATTTGAAAATAAAATAAGCCGTAATTCTGTTAGAAATTTCACAGCCTAAATATTTATATCAATACAATTAGTTTTAACAAGAAAATTTCATAATTTGCAGTGGAAAGAATGATTCCTTGTGTATTTAAAGGAGATTATGTTGTATAAACTTCCTAGCTCAGTGTTTTATATATTCTTTTTTGCCCCTCTACCCAATCCAGGCTTTCAAAATTTGTATGAATATTTAATTTAAGATCACATGACTGATGTGAATCTTACAAAGAATATCTGTTTAGGGTAAAACCTGTGAACAACTTCAAAAGATTTACATTTGACCTCTAGTATTTGCAACAATATGCATTTCTTGTGGTAATCACTCTCTTGTAGGGCTGCGTAGTAAATACAATGAAAAATCTCTACCTAGAGGATTTAGTTTAAATCATAAAATTCTAAAGCTAAACTTCATCCTAGTAACTCTAATACAACTAGAGTAGAAATTTTATGATATTTTAAAATATACAAATATTTAAACCTAACTTAGTGTACTCCTGCTGAAAAGCATAGCTCTCTTCAGTGAATAATACTTATTAAGTATGAAACAGCTTTATATTTAACTCATTTCTATTAATATTGGACGTCTACTTTGCAACCTAAACTCTCTCTCTCTCTCTCCCCCTCCCTCTCTCTCTCTTCTCTCTGGAATGTAAAGGAAATATCCCCCACCCCCATGCTTTTCCAGCCATCATTTATACTTAATCTAATGTCACTAAATGACATAAATGAGAGACCACAATTCCATTTATCAGGCAAACCATCACAAATGTCAAAGTTATGAATAGTAATAAGAAATGCAAAGAGCACAAGATAACTTCTATCATTTAATAATTGCTCAGTATGAGAAGTACTGTTCGGTCGTTTTCCACACTGAATTATTTCTCTGGACACGCTCAGAACACACTGCCAATTGACAAAAGGAACATAGCTTCAAAAGAAAATCTTCTAAGTAGAGAAAAGCTCTCTGTTAAGCATGCAAGAGGTTAAACATTGCTGAAATAGTGAGACATTTTCTCAGCCCACGCTTCCCAGTTCCATTCAATTACCAACAGCACAAGCGACTATAATACAAGCTAATACTGTATTATTAAATCAGAGCTTCCCATTTACATCCACCTCTAACCTGAGGGGGTGGCAAGGGGATGACATTTGCTAGTCAACAGCAGAACAAACAGCCCCCAACTTGGAAATACACATGACCTTGGGGTGTGGAATGCTCAGAGACTGAGTTTCACAAGTTTTATTTGGATCTACTGCATAACAACACATCTAAATGGACCCAGCATGATATAAATGTTTCTATCCCTACCTCCTCCCTTCCAAAAAATGTTAAGAGAGCTCTGCACTTTGAAATCTATGCTTTAGATATAGGAAATAATATTGTTGATTAACCAGAGATTAGTCCATTCAGATAATTATTTGATTATATTTGTTCTAAACAACTTGTTGGTTGATTTATTTAATATCATTTGCTAATATATTTGGAGGGTTTTCTGGAATGGTTCCTATCCTTTGAACCCTGCTGAAAGCATTGCTCTAAAATATTTATATTTATAAAGCAAGATATAACATAATGACATTAACTTCACAAAAAGCAAAGCTCTCAACTTCCCCTCTAGAATTTAGTGCATAATCACTAACAGATGATCTTGTAATAATAATAACAGTAATTATTAAAATATTTTTGCAATCATTGCCAAAAGTCCAGTTTCAAATTGTAAAAATAAACAGAACTTGTTTTTAAATTTTTGTATAGCAGTCCGTATGTCTCCCCCACTTGTAATCATTTATAACAATATTATTTTTCTTACCTTATTTTAACAGTCACAAAAGTCCCCCAGAAAGATTCCTAAACGCCGTGGAAATACAAATCACAATTAAAAAAAAAAAAAAAAAAACTAAAAAGATGTCTTAGCTGGGAAAAAAATAAATAAATAAAATAGTTTCGTCTAAAACTATAGAAATCTCCAAAGTCACGCCTGAATGAGCGCCCAGGTGGCAAACAGAGGAGTCTCTCCCACGTCCGATACCACACTCCTTTGTCAAGTTGATATGGGTCCTGTTGGTGAAGCGGGTCCCACAGGGCACAGAGGGTGCAAGAGGGCGTTGCCTCCAGGTGCTGGAGCAACTGGTCCGCTCGCGTCTCAGTTTCAGCACCGACAGCACAGTGGACAGTACCAGCTCCTCTCACCTCCAGTTTGTCTCAGTCACTGAACCAGGCTGATTCTCGCTCCTCCTCCCTAGGCAGGAGCTGCTGCCACTCAACCTGGGGGTGCCCCGCCCCCACCATCTGACGTAACTATTTTGCATATCAACTCGCCGAGAAGTGAGGGGCCGTCCCCTTGACTGGGCTTCTGCTAGGGTCAGCTGCGGCAATCGAGGCTACAAAATCCAGGTTTAAGGTCAGCGTGGGCATCTTTGGACTTCAAGATGTATTCTCAACCAGTCCAGTGGAAATTAAACGCTTTGGCGGTGCTGGAGCCTTTGCCTTCGCTGGGACTGCTGTTTCTGCGCACTCTAAGATCGCTGCGGGCACAGCTCTGGAAGGAAGACGGGGCGGAGAGAGGGGGCAGTGGAGCGGGGAGAGGACCGAGTGGGAGGCGGGTGGGGAGGAGACGGAGAAATAGAATGAATCTATTCAACCGTTCTTGAAAACATCTCCCATCCTTTTGATCTTCCTGGCCAAACTTTGCTGCCTTTCACTGCTATTTGGTTATTTGAACGCATACGTATGTGGTGTTCCTACTCCTTTCCCTCGGTTCACGGAGCCGCTGGAGGGAGTCACTGCTGCAGAAACTTGCCTGGCAGAAAAAAAAAAAAAAAAAAAAAAAAAAAAAATCTTGAGCAGCGAGAGGAAACGTGAAAGCTTGCAGCGCTAGCCATCGTTTCTAAACAGAATCTTAAAAATAAAAACAAAAAGAATTACGAGTGCTCCATAGTATATATTATGCTTCATATTCATTCCAATAAAACCTACAGAACCTTCCCTATTCATTATCGTGATTTAAATATATCCTCAAACTGTACAGACTTGGAGATTCCACAGTAAAAAATAAATAAATAAATAATAAAAAGTGAAAGTTCTCAGCTTCAACTTCCACTGCCAAAATTCTGAAGGTTATGCAATATTTATTATGTCTACTATATCAATTGTTACTCCAAAAGATGGAGTATGCTGGAAGCATTACATAGCCTTTAGCAATTCTCTCAGTATTTGTGATATTTCTTGTCCCAGTGAAGCTCTAGCGGCCTTGAAGGCAAGAGAAAGGGGGCCTGTCATGCCAAATTCCACGGACTGCTTAAACTTGTAAACAAACACTTTAAGTGAACTGAAGTAATCAATCATCCAGAAGGGTGATTATTCACATTCCATGCATGTGTCCCACCTACAGTTAACATGACTTACTTGGACAGAAAAGTGGGTATCTAAAACTAAGCTTAATTTTCTTAAGTTGGATAAAGCATGTTTAATAAAAAAGATTGTTTATTCAAAAAATGTCATAGCATTTCACACATCGTTTTCCATCAGAATGCCTACATACTGATATGTGTCATCATATTCCAGGGGTCTGATAGCATCTAGCACTGGATCCACTCACAAGCCTTTTCAGGGACTCTAATAAAATGAATACACTTGTTTATTCCTCCATCAGGAAAAATAATAAATTTTATTTTCTGTGATATTAAGAAGTTTTTTGAGGAAGTCTTTTTACTTTGTGGGCCCATACCCCCAAACTCCTTCTTTCTAGTTACTTAAAAAATAAAAGATAACAGAGGAAAAAAACTATGGTATTTTTGCTTGAAAGAAGGAACATTTTTTTTTATTCTGATTCACACCCGCATAAACGTTTCTCTATGGCTTTATTCCAGAAATTGCCCGTTTCTTTTCTGAACGTACAATCCCTAGTACTATTTCTCCAACACACCTTGACCGTAAGTTTCACATTTTGGGTAATCTGTAATGTTTTTGTTTTCTCAGACAACTACTGATTTTACATTTATAAGTGTCAAGTGCCATGACTTTTTGCACAGATACACATGCATGCATTATGAGTTCTTCAGTTCTCAAAGTCATTTTAATAATGGTGGCAGACACCATGATATGACAGGAAAGATGATCTGTGGGGGCGGATGGGTGTTGCACAATTGTAATTACAGTGGAGCCAACTGAATAACTTAGGCTGGCTATGGCGCGCATGATATGCTTCTTTTGGGAACATCACATAGCACACTTTGGTCTGCTTCATGCCAATGTGCTGAAATGTCAGAGAAATCTTGATAGTTCATTTTAGCAATGTACAGAATACATGACGTATGCTTATAAAATTCCACCAAGACCTATGTTGTTTGGATAATGGACACTATTTTTCAGTTTACTCCAGTGATCATAATGTTTTGGTCTATGAATTCAATTAAAGCAGTCATAATATTATTGAAAAGCCTGAGGGAATAAAACTGGAAAACAAATCTTCCTTTCAAAGATGGAAAGGAAAGCCAAATCATTTTCTCATTTTTTCACTGTCTTTAAAAAGAGAGAGAGAGAAGAAAGAAAAGAAAACAAAAGGAAAATAGCTATTTTGGCGAGCATGAACAAAGATGAATATATGCAGAAAACATTGAGAATATTCTCCTAGGGGATTCTTGATTTTGTACTGCCCTAAAAGGCAGTGTGACTGAGGGCAAGCTATTTAAACCTTTTCATCACAGTCATCATTTTTAAAATATGTAGGTTATCCTGCTATCTCCAAAACTCATTACATGCTTGTCATTCTGTAATTTTATATTAGACTTCAAAAATTTTTATATTACAATTCAAAATTTTATATTATAATTTAAAATTTTAAGAACTTTTCCCTAAGTGAAATAAACTGGCACCTGGTTACTAAGTCTGTGAAAAGAATATCTTCATATAATTAGGTTGGGAGGTGTGGAGAGGCTAAGACCAATTATGAGGCTAAGAGAGGCCAAAAAAAATAAATTTTATCCACCCAGGCTGGAACTGAAAGAAGGCAAAATAGGCCTGTTAAAGCATTCATTTATTATATAAGCATATTGCAATAATCTCTCATCTAGTCGCAGATATAATTACTCTTCAGGATATTTAAAGTAATTGTAAAGCAACAATAAAATTTAAGGCATGCGGAAGAGGTTAGATGGATTTTCAGTTGCAAACTGGCACTGGAAAGATGACTAAAAATTAAGCAAATATGCTTAAGGAAAATTTATTTAAAGCTGGATGACCAAAATCTACTGAAGGATTTTAATTTAGTTAATTTACATGAACATATTAGAATGTAATACACAGAAATTATGAAGCACATTATAATGTCTTGCGAATGTGGATATTTGGGACTTCTGTAGTATCATCAAATTTTACAAGCTCCTTTTCAAATTATAATTATTTTAATGTATTTTTAGTACATTAGAATTATAAATACTCTAAGGATAATAACTATGTTTTGTTAATATTTCTTTTTGAATCAATTATAAGAAGGTTTGCTAGTAATTGAGAACATACTTATTTTGAAAAGCAAAGATGCACTTTTTTCTAGGTAATTTTCATGCTTACTTTTTGGGGATCAAAATAAAGCAGGGCCAGAAAAAAAGCAGATAGCTATAAATAACCTTTTTTAAAAAAAATAAAAGAGAGTGAAATGATTCAACATAAGCATTCGTGTGAGTTAAGATAGAGATCCCAACATCCCTGAAATGTGAGCTTATACATGATTGTGCTTTCTCCTGATAATGCATACGTACATAAGGTTTTTTAAAGAGTAGATGCTGCATTTAACCATTAGACCTTATGAACCAATCGTGTGGCTAAAAACTAATTTATGCTCTTTCTTTTTAACCTTTTTTATAGTGATTCCAAATTTTATATACATATATGTTTCTTTACTTCCATTACTTTCTTACTTTCCTACTTTCTATCTCTTGCTCCCTTGGAGCCTGTTGTGCTCTCCACCTACGTTTTATTTCATTTTAATGTTCTATTTAAAATGTCTATTAGGCGTATGTCTACCGTGGTAAAGGATATTTAAATATAGTATTTTGTTATTGAATGAAATGTTGATACAATACATTTATATTAAATTTCTTAGCTAATTCCAAACTGTGACCTTAAACACATTATATGTGTGCGTGTGTGTGTGTGTGTGTGTGTGCATGTAGGTAGGATATACTAAATAGAATTTTCAAATATGTTTTCTTAAAATTATGGAAATAAAATTTAAAATATATGAATTAAAAACTCACTACTAATAAATAAAGCTGCAAATTAAAGAACACTATTTCCTCATGCACACACATGTATTTGATCTAAGCAGTAATTACAATTTTCATGAGATTATATCGGTTTAATTTTAAATCTCAATCTCAATTAGTTCAACTGGGATTATTTGAAATCTCAATATATGCTAAAATTGAGATTGTGTTGTTTTTCATTTTCTCTATTATATATAACAATATAGGCATTTTGGTGACTTTGGATAAGATTGTTAAATTTAATCAAGACTACTGTGAAAGGTCTTTTCTTGCTAGTATTTACATTAACACACAGAAACATACACTAAGAGAGACAATTTTTATCATTTGTAATTATAAATTCACCATCAAAATGGCACATTTCATAATGGTAGTGAACTTTTTCAGAAATACCACCTAAAAGTTGACTTTAAACTCTTTGATATTCTACTCCTCAAATTATCAGATTAATGCACATATAAATTTTAATTCTCACTGTGTAAACAGGCTTCTCAAATTCTACAAGAACAAGGACAAATGTGTAGTATGAATAAAAGTTATAGGTTTAAGAAATTGTTTGATGTCAATATTTATTGAGGTAATATTAATTGGAGAAAGATAGAACATGGTTTAATAAATGCTGCTTAACTGGAAAGCTGAAGCCCACCACATTTAATACAGAAACCTAGGTTTGGCTTTAAGTAATAGATTTGCTCATTGTCATCAATAATTTGGGGTGAAAATGAATTCAGAATTATAGTAACTGGCCACTTAAAGAACCACTGCATAATCAAAGGATGTACCATGAATCCTGAGGGTGCAAAGACAAATAAATCTGTTTTATTCTCCATGATAAATATAGATTCTTAATGTTATAAGTTTCATCTTCTCAATTGAAGGGAATTAAAACCCGCTCTATGTATAGCCACATCGTGGGGAATGAACATTAAGATACAGATTTAGCAGACTCAGGTTTGTGTTAACTATTCTAGTTTTTATGCATTTTCATATTTTTTTATTTAGTTGTCAATTTCATAGACACACTCATCCTGGTTTCCAAGTAATACTACTGTGAATTTCCCCCTAAAGCTGTATTTTGCCTTTCTGTTTTGGCTTGGTAAAAATGTTTGCTTTTCCCACACTAGTAAACAATGAGAACTAACTTTCAATAAGAGCGAGCATCTATCAACGTGTCCATGCACAGAGTTTTCGAGCTTATATGAATGGATTAAAAAATTGCTCTATAAAGGTATAGATTGAAATGATGAATTGATTAAAAAATTTAATAAGT